GGGCTTAGGTTTAGGTTAAGGTGGGGTGCCAGAGAGAGAACCCCCACATCAGCATATTCGGCAAGAGTCTCGTTTGGCTCTGTTTGCCCAGCTTCTTCTTATGTAATGAGTATTTGGTTACACAAGTCTTTGAGCTGACCCTTCCACATTACTCTAGCTGGTCCCGGTTATTGAATGAACGCTTAAATTACTAAGCAAATGACTCATTTATCAACTGCAGTTTGGCGCTAGCTGCTCGGGATTAGCATGGCCTGTCAGCAGGACACTCCTCCATCCCTCCCCCCTCCCCGGGTGGAGATTTCATTAAAAATGATTTAAAGGACCCAAGCTCGGTGGCGCATAAATTAAAATACTTGGGCATCCGGCAATGATTGCCAGTCTGATGCACTGATGCAGCCATTGCATTCGAATGTCAGTTCAATTAACTCATTGGCAGTTGCATAATTACGTTTAGCAGTCAATAAACGAGAAGGATTTACGATTTTTAGCGTATTAAATATAGTATTTTGTGGCATTTTGCAAGATTAAAGGTAAGTATTAAAGTCACATGTGTGTTTAAATTTTTCCCTTTTAATATTAAACATGATAAAACAGAATAGATATTCCAAAAGCAGACTAATATAATATTAAATAGAATAACTGAAGAATAATTTACTCGGAAATGGAGTAAGGAAAAGTAAACCTCTCCAAATCATGCTCCTTTTCCTAACTTAGCAAACTCCTTTTCTGAAATCTACAATCTAAGGACCCATACCAATTTAATAGATAGTTTCAGTTCCTGGAAAAGCAGCTGCAAAGTAAGCAAATATTAATTTTATGTTTAATGTTTACAATAACTTTTTAAGGTACAAAGGCAGATAAACAATAACGATGCTATACCCCCATGAAATCTCTGTGAAAGCACTTTTTCGCCATCAAATTTATGATTGTTTGCATTATGCGTTTAATGTCTCTTGATTTACATTAGTTTTAAATTGAATTTTCCAAGCTTTTCTACTGAAAATGACAAAAAAAAACTATATATATATGAAAGGACCTACAAGACCGAAGAGAAACTCGCGCTGAACGTGCCGCCCCAGGAGCAGACGCAATATGCAAATAATCTGCAAATTTATAGGCTTTTGGCCCGGGACTCCTTGCCACAGCTGCGACCTGGGCAGCGTAAGTCCTTGAGTGGCATTCGGCTAAGCCAGGTTATTATCTTTTATGAACTGAACTTCCGTTTTGATTGGTTTAATGCTGTTGCGGATTGCTTACCGCTTGCCGGGGGCCCCGAATGATTGATGCCTGCTCAGCGATGTCACAGGGAAAACATGAGCCCGAAATCTTGACATTTCTCGGAGAGCAAAAAAAAAAGTACAAGTACAAGTATAGGAAATCCAACTCCCATGTTCATGTGGAAAAACCCATTAAAACACTTGAGCCTGGCAGACGCGACGCGGCATGTGCTCTCCAAAGGAGCAACAACAACAGCCACGACCAGAATGCATTTCCGTTAATAGTGAAGGCGGCTTTGAAGGCAGCCACGCAACACACTCAGACGCAGCAGCACTTGTTGTGTTACCCTTAAACCTTAAAAAAAACTCCAAACCCTTCAACCGGCATCAGGACCTTCCCCCATTTTAGGGGACATAAAATGTTATTGATATTGCAATTTTTAGCATTTTGTAATTGAGGCAAAAGTCGGTTTGCCTATCGCAGCCATCAATTGTCTGCCAGATACCAAGCCGAACCTGCTGCTCCTCTGTGGACCAGGATAACTGTCTAAATGACACTTGAGCATGTGTTTAAACATGCCAAGCACTTGGCCCACTCAAACTATGCAGCAGCAAGGAGCAGCAGCCAGGAGCAGGACCAACGTCACATAACACTCAACAAAATATTGAAAACTTCAGAAAAGCAGATAAATTTCTATAGAAAAAATATTGATTTTGATATTGCCAAGGCAATAAACTTTTAATACCCTTTCAAGGTATTAAGCTCTAGTCAGCAGCTTCTAACCCTTGGCATAGTCATTTTCGACCATTATAAATAAATCATAAAATCATATACATATATTCTTTATTAGCCTCAACAGCTGAGTCTATCTAACTACTTTCGGTTGAAAAAATTTGTTTTCGAGTTTTTCAAAATTTTGTAAGAGGTTACATCGTTAAAAATTTCAAAAATCGACAAAAATTTTAATATTTTGTAAAGTTATATTGAGTATGCATGTTTTATTATAGATATGAGATTTGTTAAACCTTGATTAAACGCAAAAAATGTACATATAAAAATAGTGATTCAAACAATTCGAATATTTAAAGCTTAGTTATGATCGACTTCTCATTCGAACCTATAACTCAATTAAAAACAGCAAAGGCATCTTAAGTTTCCCTTCTTGATTTCATTAAATTGAAATCTAAAATATATTTTTTATGCAATTCTAAATTGTTCCCCTTCAAGCAACTTTCATTAAACTTCTCCCAGTGCACCGCACGGGTTGACACTTTACTCGCTGGCATCAAAGTTCATGGGTGTCGAGGCAAGCAGAAAAGCAAAGAGGGGCTTCAAGTATATGGTGAACCCCCTGTCGATGCGCTGATAAGTCCCCCTATCTCCAGATTCCAACCCATCATCCCCCATCTTCATGTGAGCATCCCTCTGAAGTTGGCCCCAAACGCATCTTGTCTCGTCTCGAGAACGAAGGCGAGTGCCAATGTTGCCAATGTTGTTGGGTAAACTCATAATTGGAATTAATTATGCATTCGCACTTTGCGGCCAACTTTTCAAGTGGCTGGGAGTGGTAAGCTAAAGTCAGTTAGCCGGATCCTTTTCCCAGTAACAGTGTGTGTATATGTGTGTGTGCGGTGCTCCTTTAATTGTCCAAAGGGAACAAGAGTCTCGAAGCGGATATACAGATACATATCCAAGAAGCTGGCTACTGTCGGCAAGGGTTAAGTGCAAATTGCAGTTATCGTAAGTATTTCTTATTCTTACTTTAGGTTCTGGTAAGCAAGGATGTTCCAGGATGTCCCAAATGAGCGTGGATTTTAGCAAAAGTTCTGTGAATTCAAGGGGTTATAGGGAACTACTTTAATTCTCTTTGGATAGTATATTTTTTATTTGACAGAAAGTCTTTCCGATTTATCAGAAAGTCTCCCCGATTTACACTTAAATAACCTGCGCAGTATATTTTATTAAATATCATTTAAAACGCAGTTATATACTGTTTTCATCCTGGCAGAGGACTTCACCTGGACCACCGTTCAAATCTCGAAGGCAACCGACTCGAGGAACATCCCCATTTAGCAATTCTCGGCTGGAAGCCATTCTAATTTAAGTTAGCCCATTTATCTTATGGCTTTCCTCTTTGTGCGCACTTTTTTCTGTTTGCCTCGGTCTCCCAGTCTACCACCCCTAAGCAGTCCAATTTGTTGCTCCTTTATGGCTACTTATATTCCATGTCCTGCCCACACCTGAGCCCAATAATTACTGTGTGCCCGTGTGCCCATGCTAGAGCCTGTGCTTGGCTTTGACTCGCCTTTTTTACTTGCCTGCCTCCCTGCCAGCTGCCTTGTCCCATTGTCCTCGCCTTGGTTTGCATTGCGGATTTGTTGGTATGGTTTGAATGCATAAAGGGAACGCTCAAGATGTTGGGAATTAATTAAAATTTGACAGCTAATAAAACGCAATCACAGCCGAGGGACACTATAAGAGAGAGGGAGAGTGACGGAGGGGCATGGCTCCCACAATGGCCATTTAAGTTGCGAATTGCGGACAATTGCACGCTTCATTTCGCCTGTGTTCGCCTGTTTTGACAAGCCATCGGAATCGAGTCACAAAAGGCACTGATGACAGAGAGAGAGACCCGCACCGAAAATGACAAAAGCCTGTCGCAAATCGCAAATCGCAGGCTGTAAGTCGCAAGTACTGAATCCCAGCTCGCGGGGCGAAAAATACAGAGAAAAAAATGGAAGCAAATATATCCTTAAAGTAAGATATTTGTCTGCAAATATTCAATAAAAAGGGATAACCTTTATATAATCTTGAAATTTCTTTTTATTCTGGTTAATACCTTCCAAAATATTTTCTTTCAGTGCCCCAAATGCCGGACAATGGCGGGCAGCTGGCACGACCGGAAACGCAGCGACACGAGGGGACTCCCTGGGCCTCGTCGCGTGTCATGAGCAAACAAGATAATGTTACAGCAGTCATCGCAAATCGAGCGCAGAAGGAGCAACGAGAAAGGAGCGGAAGGACCAGGGACACTTGGCATCCGCTGGTATTCGGTTTTGGCAGCTTCCCACTCCAGCTCCCCGACGGCGATTTGTAAAAAAAATGCAAATGAAAACGTCTCAGCTTACGGGCAGCAAGTAAGAAACTGGAAGTGGAAATGGAGCCGGAGACGGAGACGGAGACCGGGAACGGGAGCGCAGGGCTTAATGAAAATGCTGCCAAGTGGCCAGTGTCCCCTTGCTGGTCTCCCTAGGCTGGGCAATGATTGATCGTCGGCATCAATTTCCCCAGAAATGTTATTGCCATGCGTTCGACAGTCGGTCAGGTCACCACCAACCAAAGACTTTAATTATGCCTTTAAGCCCTTAGCACTTTTAGTGCACTTGAAGTTCAGCATTATTGAATTTTTCACAATCATTAAATATTATAAACAGCTTGGAAAACGATTTATCAGATTGCCTTAAAGGCAACTGGCCCAGGATCTTGGGCCAATCGGCTTCTTAGTCCTTTGGCGTTTTCATTTATGAAAATGTCTGAAACATGTTTCGCTTGCGCAAACAGAATGCAAGTATGCGAGTATGCAATAAAATTCCATTACAGCAATGGCCCGACTTAAAAAACTTGGCCGAAAAAAGTAGAAGGCTTGGATGGTAGAATGAAATTTTGTTGCATTTTCTGGGAGTTTGAGTAGGAGTTGGAGCGGGAACAGGAGCAGTAGGTTCAGCTGGAGCTGGAGCAGTACCAGCAAGTGTATTAAAAGCCCGCAGACATTTCGCCTTTACGTGAGTGCATTGCATTGCCTGTGGATGTGGGTGTGTATGTGTGGCAAGGTCCTTGCATATTTTATGAAACTTGGCAAAGCATTTAACAACACATGCACACCCACAGACAGAGGCAAACTCATTACTTGAATTTATTTAGCACTTAAACCAAATGTTTCATTCGCCTCAGCCGGCTGATTTGGGTGCTCTCATCTATCCCCGCCGCCTTCATCAGCCCCTGGACATCTCCGGACTCTGGACGCCACTTCACAGAGTTGGTACGTGGAACTCCTCAAGTTCTTTTCGCAGCATGAACACTTTGTGTTCTGACTGGTGGATCTTACTGCCTGAACGGCTTTAATCAGTCTCAGAATACTTATTTTCCCGGGATCCTCGGCGGGTTGGGTGCATGGATTGGCCGCGTCATGGACATAGCCACAGCGAGTGCAGACATTCTGTATTGTGTTGACCAGGAGCTCGTTTTTGGCACAGGCTTCGATGGAGCCGCTGGACAGGATCGCACTACTGGCCTTGGACGATGGGACACAGCATGACACTTCTACCTTAACACCACAGCTTGGGCACCTTCCTATGGAGGTATCGTAGTCCTCGCTACTCTCCTCCAAAGCCTCGTCCTCTGAGCACTCTGAATAAAATTTGATAATCTGCTGCTCACGGCATGTCTTCCGGGGCGAGTAAAACAAACGATTGATGGGTCTCACCGGTCGTTGCTCCTTTTTCTTAGATGATTCCCTTGGGGGTTTCTTTGGTGGAGATGTTCCAAATAGACCCTCCGATGGCTTCTCCACCAACCTGAGTTTTGAATCGATCTTCCCGTGACGATCCTTTTCCATCATCCTTTGGCACTCCATGGCCTACAATTTGAGGTAAACTTTTGTGGGTGGAATAATTTTTATTTCATTGTCAGATAACTTACCCGGAACCTAATCTTATGTTCGTTTAGCATCTTCTTAAGGTTCGTTATCGAGTAGCGCTCATCAATTGTGCGAAGATCCTCTTCCTCCTCGGACTCCACATCCCGGAGGGTGTTGGTGCTCGCAAATGACATGGAGGCGGAAGTCTGACTGGTCGGGAGAAGGCGTCGCAGGCGGTCTTCCCAACTGTCCCTCTTCGCCCGCTCCGCCTTCAGCTCCTGCAGGAAGAGCTTCTTGTGTATGGAATCATTTATATCTTGAGTAGATCCTTTGGACTGCTTCTCGTTTATGCTCTTTGGTATACCCTGAAATGTCCGCGTATTCATCCGATTCCGATACCAAAACTTTAGGTTTCGGAGTTGATCCGCCATAGATGGCTTTGCGGTATATTGCTCGCTGGTTACAGAACCCGCTCTTTTGGGGTCCGATAGCTGGGCATTCCAAATGGTTCTCAGGTACTTAAGGTACTTGTCGGTCAGCAGCCGCTTCACATCCGGTTTGCTGATCCCTCCGGCCAGCAGTTCGCTGTAGAAATCCATGAGGTTGCTCCACATGTAGTGTTTACCCACCGCCTTCATCAGCCCCTGGACATTGGACGTGTGCTGAAGGATATGGTTTGATTCTATGACGTCCTTTAGAAAATATTGGATTTGTCTGTACTTCACATCGGACTCCAAGTCTTTTATGCTGAACTTGCTGGTAACGATTGAGGAGTCCTTATTACTCGCATCTTTTATAGAGTCCGCCGGAAAATATGGAATAGATTCCGCATCACTTCGACTTGCTGTTGTACTTTCTGTTCGACTATGAACCGTTTTAACATACTGTGGCAGAAGTTCATTGTTAATATTTGTTGAAGCCCGAGATTCATCACGATGGATGTTTAATAGATTACGAGATGCATCCTGATCTTGATCTTGGCCAGTTTTATTTATATCTTGATTATTATTTTGTTCATCTGGACTATAGTTTGCATTATTTATGTCCAGATGGATAGTTTGGTCATGTTCTGTAAATCCAACGAAATAACCTGTTTTCGAATTAGTTTTAATAACATCTTCATCGACAGCTTGATCACCTTTTCTTGAACCAGTTGGTCTGGGAATGTCTTTATTTATATTTGAATCATAACCTATTTCATCCTCATTGCCTATCGAGTTATTTATTTCATTTCCAATCGTGTTATTGCCAGCTTTATGCACTTTACGACCAGCTTTAAGCCCTAATTTTGTTCTACCTTTATGACTCTGGATTCTCGGATCTCCCTTAGTGCCCTTAGACCCTACCTTAATCTGTTTTTGATCTCTGTCAAAATTCTCATTGGTTCTATTGGAAACTGCCGGTGTGCTGAAGACAGTGCGATTGGCGAGTTTTATTGATTTCCTTGATCGATTGCTATCGGTCAAGCTACTTCTGGGCATATTTTCCATTCCCCTCAGATTCCGATAGGTGGACTCTATAGCCTGTCCACTTGTCCGAACTTTTGGCTTGAAACCGGGTGGAAGTAGACCCACACCAAAAATGGATTTGCGAAGGGATCTTCGGGCGGGTCGGTTTTCCATTATTAATTTATTCAGCGAATCGCTAAAGGAGGCGACGCTGTTCGGAACAATGATCTGATCGGATATGCTCTCCTCGTTCAATGTTTTTCGTTTATTTAGATAATTCACCATTACATCGGTGCCGTCATCAGAGTGACTTTCACTACTTATTATTGATTTCTTTTTTGGTGAATCCTTTTCCGCCCACGGTAACTGTTCCTGACAGGAATCAAGGCATCAGAGCTACCCGGAATGTTTTTACTGCGCCTTAGCTCCTTTTTGTAGTTTGTCTTTAAGTCTTCCTCCTCATTTGTTAATTTCTCATTCGAGAATTTAGATTTTTGGCTTTTAGCATATTTGTGTAAGGGAGAAATTGGGAGATCAGAGGTGTCCCCAACTTTCTTACTGTCCATCGAATCACTTACCCTGGGACCCTTCTTCAAGTCATCTTTTTTCTTGCTAATTTTATCAATCACGAATTTTGGTTTTGGCTTTTTAGCATTATTGTTTGTTGGAGAGATTGGAAGATCAAAGATGTCCCCAACTTTCCTACCTTCCATCGAATCACTCGCCCTGGGACCCTTCTTCAAGTCATCTTTTTCTTGCTAATTTTATCATTAACGAATTTTGGTTTTGGCTTTTTAGCATTATTGTATGAGGAAGAAATTGAGAGATCAGAGATGTCCCTAACTTTCTTACTTTCCATCGAATCACTCGCCTTTAGACCCTTCTTCAAGTCTTCTGTTTCCTTGCTAATTTTGTCATTCACGAATTTTGATTTTGGCTTGTTAGCATTATTGTATGGGGGAGAAATTGAGAATTCAGAGATGTCCCTAACTTTCTTACTTTCCATCGAATCACTCGCCTTTGGACCCTTCTTCAAGTCATCTTTTTTCTTGCTAATTTTTTCATTCACGAATTTTGGTTTTGTCTTTTTAGCATTATTGTATGAGGGAGAAATTGAGAGATCAGAGCTGTCCCAAAGGTTCTTACTTTCAATCGAATCACTGCGCCTGTGACCCTTCTTCAAGACATCTCGTTTTTTGGTAATTTTATCATTTGCGAATTTAGATTTTTGGCTTTTTGTATTATAGTATGAGGGAGAAATTGAGAGATCAGAGCTGTCCCAAAGATTTTTACTTTCTATTGAATCCCGAGGCCTTTGATCCATCTTCAAAGTTTTCATCCCTTCGCTAATTTTCTTTTTTACGAATTTAGATTTTGGCTTTCTAGTATATTTCTGTGAGGGAGAGATTGAGAAACTAGGGATCTTGTTTTTCATTGAGCCAAGATCTGCATATTTGTGTCGAATTGGTACTTTTCTTCTAAATCTCGTCATTGCGGGCCATTTATGTTTCTTGGCTCTCTTGATCGTGGGCCAGCGGGACTTTTGGATTGTAGTTATCATGGCAGAGTCTATACTATGCAGCCTGTTTACGATCAAGTTAACCTGATTTCTACTATTCCTCTTGCGTTCAGATAGAGGCTTTGTTTTATTAATGTCTTTTTTCAGCTCTTGATACAGATCTGTTTTCGCCGCTTTTCTTTTCAGATTTCGTTTACTTTTGTGATGTCTAGCCGTCTTACCGATTCTTTGCTCTGATGAATTCTGAACCTTAAGAATTTGCAATAGCTGCTGCATTTCTTTGCGCGACGGTCCCAAAGAACGTTTCTTGATAAGTTTCCTACTGGATATTGTTCTACTTTTAAGCTTTTGATCTTCATCTAGATCGCCTAGATTAAGAAAAATCTCGCTGGTATTAGGTCTATTTTCTCTTTTTCTTGGTGACCTCAAATGTGGTTTAGGAACCCTGTAGACTTCCCACTCGGGTGGAGATTCCTGCTTGGGTAACTGGGTCTTAACCACTTTTCTCTTCTTACGCACCACCTCAAACTTCCAGAAACTGCTGAAATCTTTCAGATCCAAATGCAGGCCCCTCGATCGGCGGGGTGACTTTCGCCGTTTTATGGGCTTTCCCCGAATATCGGACAGATATCTGCGCACCTCCTCAACCTCCTGCAACCAAATGAGTTCCTGATTCTCGATATACTGACGGTAGTCCGGATTTTGTTGCCACCTCTTCACCGCCTTGGCGAGTTTTTCAAAGCATCTGTCCACCAAGTGCTGCGGTCTGTGGTGCTTCCGCAGCCGCTTTCGAAGGAGTCGCAGTCTGTGCTTCAGTCTGTGCTTCAGATGCTCCTGTTGCCGTATGAGCCGGCCCTGGGATTTTATTGACCTGGTCCAGTTCCCTAGCCAGCGCTTGTACATGTGCAGCATACCGCTCACTGCCCGCCGTGCCTGCTTCCGTCGCCCCTCCTTCGCTTCCCGCTGCCGCAAGTCAATCAAACGTTGCATCAACCGGAGCAGCTCCCTTCGAAACTGCCGTATCATCTCCAGGCGACGTTGCGCACGGCGTCTTCGCCTGCGGAGCTCCCGGACCTTCCGCCGGATAAGCTTCTTCAGCACCGCCATCTGAGTGCTACGATGTAGCAGTGGCAATTGCATGGCGCAGTCACTATAGTCTCTAATTACCACCGATTTCAGATATACAAATATGAGTAAAAAAAGAAAATGTTTTAGTACAAATAAATTATATTCAAATGACAGTTACAACCAATTAAGAGAACATATATAATATTGTACAATTCAAAAGAATGTTCAAGTCAGCCCAAAAGTTTGCTTTAAAAGCAATCCATATATTAAGCAATATTGAATAAAAAATTCCCCTATCAAAATTCACAATCAAAATATAGCCAGAAATCACCGACCAGTCAAGGGGATTCCTTAGTCCGGTGTCACTTCTTATCAATTGGTGTAAAGCACCTGTTGGCTTGGACTTCCCAGCAGCTGAGTGCTACTGATAAGGCTTTCGTTAAGAAGAAATGTAAATCACAGAGAGATCACTCGCTCAGAGATCGTTTGCTATAAAACGCGACAAGCACAGATCCCAGCATCCACAGTCTTCTAAAGGCATTCATCGATAGTGAACCTAAGAGCAGTTTCAAAACCAAAACAAAATCAATGATGTGCAAACTTACCTCCCTAATTGTGGCCACAATTTGTGTGTTTGGAGCTCTTTCCGAGGCTTTGCCTCAGCGTCGTCTGACTCAGCCACTGCTCGAGTACGCCTCAACCACAACTCCAACGGAAGAGCATCACAGGCCACGTCGCCAGGTTTTGGGTGGTTCCCTGACCTCCAATCCGAATGGCGGTGCAGATGCCCGCATGGAGTTGAGCAAGGCCATTGGCACGCCAAATCACAATGTAATTGGACAGGTTTTTGCCGCGGGCAACACACAAACCAAGCCGGTCTCCACTCCAGTAACCAGCGGTGCCTCCTTGGCCTACAACAAGTAAGTATGAGTTTAAATATTTCTAAAATTTAGTTAATATTATTCCCTGCCCTGTAGCCAAGGTCATGGAATCGAGCTAACCAAGACACACACGCCCGGAGTGCGGGACAGTTTCCAGCAGACAGCCACGGCCAATTTGTTCAATAATGGAGTCCACAATTTGGATGCCAAGGCCTTTGCCTCACAGAACCAGCTGGCCAATGGCTTCAAGTTTGATCGGAACGGAGCTGGCCTGGACTATTCGCACATTAATGGCCATAGCGCCAGTCTGACGCACAGCAACATTCCCGGTCTGGGCAAGCAGCTGGAGCTGGGAGCAAGGGCCAATCTCTGGCAGTCGCAGGATCGGAACACGCGACTGGATTTGGGAAGTACAGCCTCCAAATGGACCAGTGGACCCTTCAAGGGGCAGTCCGATCTGGGCGCCAACCTCGGTCTATCTCACTATTTTGGCTAAAAAGGTTCATTGTTAAAAATTATAAATTAATAAACTAAAGAAAAATCTAATAAAGGATTCATGTAAATCGAATAAAATATTTATAAAAGGCAACTTAATTCTTCTCTCCATAATGCCAATTAAAGAAATTAATACACGAAGATATGCAAATAGCAATTTTAATTTTTTTTACAAAATATAAAGTAGGTATCTTGAAATTACCCACATTAAACAATTGAATTTATTAAAATGCCAATGGGTCCCAGGATTTCTGACCATTCTCATCCTTTAAGACCTCTGCCACCTTAAGGTAAGTGATCATGTCCGATGATGGCTTGCTAATTTTGTACTCTTCAAGGACATCATCCAGCACCTTGTAAAGATAGGCGTCACGGTGTTGATGCACTGCATGGTCAGCTGTCTTAAATAGTCCATCAAGATCCTGGATAAGCAGATCGGTGGCCACCACTTGATCTACCAGCGGCAGATCCTGGTACTGGCGTAATAACATCTTAGCAACTTGTGTCTTTGGCTTGAATTTAGTGGGGTCAAGGAGGTCCTCATTCATGCGGAAGATCTCAAAGAGGACCTGCAGAACATCTTGCTGCATTTGTAAATACTTTTGCATGTCACTCATTTGACTGAAATTAGTGTCGGCCTTGAAATTGGATTTGTGTGAAGAACTCTGCAGAGGTTCATGATGATGATATATAGTATTTGGTCCCTGATTCCACACGGACACCAGATTATTAATGGGATCCTGGTGATTGCTTTGTAGTTCATCAAATGCCAGTACTTCAATTTCTGGGATGGTGAGCAAACTTCCTTCCAGCTCATCGGCATCAGGTGTCAGCAATCCATTACCCAAGACCCCGAAGCTCACTCGATTGGCATTATGATCTTCAAAATCGTTCAGTAGTTGAGCCCTGCGTCTAGCCGCCACATGTTGCCCCTCCAATGATCTCTTAACCCTTCTAGTACGTCGTGGAACTCGGTGTGCCATGGTCTCCTGATTATCGTGCAGCATGCTGGTAGCTTCGGAATTGAGGTTTATAGTCGGTGCCACCGCCTTGGAATCAGCATTCAATTTCTCTTCGCCTCTCCCTATGATTGCGGATGGTTGAAGTTCAGCATAAGTCACCGGTTTGCCATACAAGTTGCTGCTGTCTCTATGGTACTCCTGCTGGAACTTTTGTACCATCTCCTTGGACTCGTGATCTCTGGTTATAGTCGCCTTCTTGATATCCATCCAGTGCTGTGGAGCTCTCTGATTCTCCTCTGCTTCGAGGGGGATCTTACGCGATTGATTTTCATCTGTCCCTCCAGGGCTACAGGCTCTTTGTCAGCTTGCTTATACGATAATCCTTGGCCAAGCGAGGAGGTCCTTAGGTTTGCCTCGTTTTCAATGTTCACATTCATCGGCTTGCGCTTGGTCCTGTCGGTGTTCAAGACATTTGGTTTTCTCTGCTGGTCAAGGGAATACAGGCGATAACTTTCAGGATCCTTATACTCAAATGTTTGAGGCAAGTCTGCATCCATGGCGGAGCTGGACTTGGACTGGGTATAATCGAAAGGGTCCATTTGATGCTCCAGATTTTTCAAGCGCTGATATTGAAGGTTTTTATCGTGAGTGGCATCAAGCATCCGATTCTGCCATTCATCGAGTTTTCCCCTGCGAGAAAGCTCAAAAGTTTCACTGGGCAACAAAGGACCGAATCCCTTGGCTATCAGGCGCGAGCTGGTCTTCAACTTAATTTCTTCCATTGGATCACAGACTCCTGTAGAATGGCGTTTCTTCTGCTTGAAGTGACTCATGTCCTGACCTATGGCTTTCGGTAGTTTCGGCATCTTCTCCGAAGCCTCCTGTTCTATTTTGGATAGCTTGTAGTTGGCCTCATGGTCTAGCTCGTTCGATTTGGCCTGGGGATAAGCCTGATAGTTGCGATTGCTCTCGTATATGCTATCGGGGGCATTTCTAGACTCGTGGAGCTTCTCAAGCTGTTCGTTGATCTTCTTGGCCGCCACGTTGACCTTCATACGGTTTTGGGCCTGGAGGTTAGCCTGTTGACCAATGAGCTGCGGCGATTGCTTTAGCTTTACGTTGTCTCGGGAAGAAGCGAATTGCATCTTGGCTTGGTAGGGACTCTGGTTCTCCATCTGCTTCTGGACGAAGTCTTCGTCGAAAGCCTTCTTAGGCTTTGATTTGCCCGTCACGGAACGCTTTAAGGCCAGGTCATGTATGTCGATGGTTTGGGTCTCGTCCAGTCTCGAGGATCGCTCCCTTCGCTGCTGGGCGAATCCGCCTTTGCCTCTGTTGGCCATTAAATCACGATACCAGGCATCGGCCTGCGCTCCCAAAATCCGCATATCTTCTTCGGTCACCGTATCCGTCAGAGATCGCTCCTGCTTACGAATCATACGCTTCTTGGCTGCATTTCTCTTGGCCATTTGCAGCTGAAGATTTTCATACCAAGCGTCTGCCTCTGCCTGCCAATTACGATCCTTATCCTTATCACTCACCGCCTTCGATCCTTCCACCGGCAATTGGCCAAAGTCGGTCAGCATTCTGTCATCTGCGTTGCGTCGTTCCCTTCGATGTTCGATCTCGCTGTCCAATTCCGGCAGATCGCCGAAGGAGGACCACAGGTCCTGCAACTCGGGACCTGCTTCATCCACAGCGCGGCTGAAGCTTTCCAACTGCTGGTCACCACCAATCGGTTGGTCCCCGTTCATGGGCCATGAGTTGGAGCCAAGACTATTGAACACCAACAGGGCCCACCAGAACTGTAAGAAAATCATTTTATTATTTTACCGGAGCTAAATAATACTTGGAGTTGTTTTTCGGACGGGAATCAGAGAGAGACTGACTGAAAGCAGGGCAGGTCCTATACATGTGCTTTGACACAAGGTTACTTTTTGAAGAAAGGTTACTTGGATTGTATTTGTGAATATCCAAGGTATACTTGGATGTTAAACAGGAAAGTTTTTAGTTAAGTATTCTGAATTGAATTCTCAAGTCGGTACTCATACGGATTTTGAGTAGGATGAGAATAACTCCCTCTGTTCAAGCTACAAGAATTACATACAAATATAGAATAATTATTAGCTGATTATTGTAACTTGTAACTACTTTATTGGAAAGAAACTAACAAATTAAAAGACTGAATAAGAGATCCCTAGATAGTGGTTCGTCCAATTAATCCTTAACAAGCTGCACCGCTAGTTCATCATCTTGGTTTAGAGCTCATCGTGAACTGCAGTCTCCGCTAGCTTATTCCCAATCGTCAGATTCTGTTGCTGGCTGGTCCTATTGGTGTAGTTTTTGGCCAAAATCCATAGAGAATTCTGTCTCTCCTTACGAATTTTCTGTTCCTGGTCAGCCGTCTTCAAAATTATGTCGTAGAATTCCTGAAGACGTGGAACCAAAGGATTGATGTTCCGGCAGCACTTTTGCTTAGTCATAATCTTGCAGTAGTTGTCACCTTCCTCCACCTGGAGCCTCAACTTCTGCTTCCGGGTCTTGAGATTTCCCTCTAGCACGGACAGTACTTGTTCAAACGCTGTATCATTGTAAATTAACTCAAAGACAATATCCGTAAGTTCTTCGGGCAGTCTGTCAAACAGTACCTTGTGGAACCTGTCGCTTAGTTCCATTTTATCCATTTTATAGAACTTGTAGTTGTCCTCGGGTTCTAGATTGTAGGAATTGAAATGAGCAACGGGTTAGTTATTTAGGATGTGAGTACAAACTCACCATCTGGAATTGCAGGGCACTTCATTGATGTGTTATCCTGGTCAACAGCTTCATCCTTCTGCTTGTATGGCTGGTTCTCTGAGCGGATCTGGGTGTTAGCACTATTGGTATCCTTAGATTTTTGTACTATAATTTGGGAAAAGTCGTTGATTTTGCTTCCTTCCTTCAGCTGTTGCTTTGCGTCCTTGGCCTCTAAGGCGGAACCAAGACCATAGAGCACCAACAAGGTCCACCAGAAAGGTAAGAAAATCATTATGTTTAGTAAATCGTATTGTGACATGAGACTCGCATGCAATGAGATGTACTTAATTATGCATTCCAATAATATATTTTAAAGCAACTCCAACTAAATTAACAAATTAAACAAATAACGAAAATTAAATACGATCCTTGGATAGTGTTTCCCCCGACTCCATGAAGAGCTCTGCCGTCTTTAGCAGCTTGACGAAACGCGGTGAGTACTCGTTGTTCACATGCTGCTCGAGGGCCTCGTCTAGGCTCTGCTGCTTGACGACCTCTTGCATTCGGGCATTCCGCTTGCGACGCTCGACAGTGTCGGCCATCTTACGTAAGTACTCCATATCGAGCAGCAACTCATCGTGGGTTTTTGCCGCCGCCAGCTGATCGCCTAAGGGTAGGTCCTGGTACTGCTGCAGGAGCTTCTTCACAATCCGTGTATTCTCGTTGATCTTGGCGGGTTCGAGCAGAGGCACTGCGTCGTTAAAGTCTGCAGAGAGGACTCCCACGGAGCTCTGTCTCTTCTCGCGAACCTGTTGCTCCTCCGCCGCCGACCTTAAAATCAATTCATAGAAATCCACAAGATCCGGGCGAAGAGGAATGCAGGACCGACGGCTAATCTGTTGTTCGATAATCTCACTAATCGCCTGCATAGTATCCCGCACCATGCCCTCCGTTTGGCGCAGAAAATTCTCATTCTTGTCGGTCCGGATTTGATAGAAATCCTTGGGCTGCTTTGACCCTTGGCGATTCCGCTGCAGGACGGACACCAGACGTTCCATTTCCGGATCACAGCCAATTGCATCAAAGACAGCATCCACAATGTCGTCGAATAGTTTGCCCGAGATCAGCTTGTCGAAGCTGTTATCCTTCTTCTCTGGCCGAAGTCGATTGCTGTAACAAAGTAGTATTTAATTAATTATTAAGTCAAAAGTCGAAATCTAGTTATTACCATTTGGTAGTGTTTTTATGAATCTTTTCGGGTATTTTTGGTGTCACCTTCTGGGGAGGCTTCTTCCTGGTGCTGTTTCTTGTCTTTTTATTTTCTGCCCAATTCATGGTCGGTGCCTTAACGTGGGTATTGAGCCGTCTTGGTCTTTTCTGTTCTTTATTTACTTCCCACTCAGGGCTCGAAACGCCTTCGTGGAGCACCTCAGTTACGTCTCTGGCATAGCGCTCCTCTAATTTGGCTTCATCTTTACAAGGCTGGGCATCTTGTGGCTGATCAATGGCATCGGAATATAACGTATAAGGAGCTGGCTGCACACTGATGGAACCATTTCCAGAGAACAGTTTTGTCTTTGGATCGGCACACACATTCGCATTGATGGCTACATTCATCTTCACGGCATCCGCATTGTTGCAAGCATCCCCGATCATGTCAGTTGTTGCAGCTGGAGGACTTGTTGGAGCAGGTGCAACAGGTGCACCAGATCCAGCAGGTGCAGCAGGTGGAAGAGTTGTAGGACTAGAGATGCCAGCTGCTGGGATGGATGTGTTGCAGTTTGGTGGCAAGACCGTTATAGGTATGCAATTAGGATCCACATTCAGTTTTTGCTGCTGTTTGACAAAGGGTCCGAGGTACCGACTGACTCCGACATGTGGTGATTTTTGTACCGGTTGTCGGTATTGTTGAATTGGCTGCGGGGCAGAAACGGGATTAGCAGGTGGCTGCTGTGGCTGCTGCTGCACGGGCTGCGCGGGTTGCCCCTGTTGACGGTTCAGCTTTTGCAGATCGTTGAAAATGTTATTGAGATTAAAGCTAGCCTTGAAATGGGAGGCAGATCTACTTTGTGGCTGTTGCTGTTGGGGCTGCTGCTGTGGGGCTTGTCGTTGTTTTACAGCATTAGATCGCGGACTGATCAGGGGCACCATATCCCTGGTAGGATCATAAATATGCGCCAAGGATTCATAATCGTGGCTGGGTTCTAGGTCATTATAATGAGACAGCAGTTCATGGTTCGGAAAGGACAGCGACTTTCCTTCCACATCCTCGGCATCAGGTGTCAGCATTCCATTACCCAAGACCCCGAAGCTAGCCCGGTTGCCATTATGATCCTCAAAGTCATCCAGCATCTGAGTCCTGCTCTTGGCCACCACACCTTGCTCGGTCTCCTCCTGTTGATTTTCTTCCAAGGATCTTTTGGGTCTATTTTCTCATGAAAAGAGCCAGCTTCGATATCCTGATTGCCCCGCTCTTTAGAATTACTATTTGCAGCTAGAGTCACTGCCTTGGGATCGTCGTTTAACTTATTCTTTTCATTTTCTTTAATGGAATCGCGTAAAATTTCTTTCTCAAATAAAGAATTCTTTCCTAATTTAGTGTCTTCATGGGACTCTTTCAACTTCTCTTCCTGATTTTTAGAATCGTGTTCTTTGGTTGTCGTCCTATTGACTTCCCACTCCAGTTTTGATATATTCAGATTTACACCGTTCTTAGCCATATTCGCTTCGATGTCGCGTATCCAGGCTTTGGTTGACTCCTTCCAGTCCTGCTCATCCTCCTCCCCGAAGTCATCCCTAAACTCATCTTCCTGCGACTGGTCGAAATTGGCCAGCATATCGTCGAGTGTGTGAAAATGGTTATACTGTTCACGCAAACGTTCAAACGAGGATCGGAGTTCCTGCAAATCGGGAAGAGCTTTGTCCACCGCCTGGTAAAAACTGCGCAGCAGATCCTTATTTTCCACTAAATCCTTTGAGATGGCATCTTTATGATCAGGATCCACGGTCTTTAAGGGTGCGGGAATACAACCGAGCACCAACACGGCCCACCAGAAACGCAACAAGATATTCATTTTTTTGTGGAACTCAAATTTTGGGAGTTAACAAAGGGAGAACTTTAAAAATTAGATTGAAAAATCAGTTATTACTTTATATTCATAAAAAGTATACCATTTTTTGAAGCTTTTACTAATATTTTAAAGTTATTATTTCAATAAAGATGTACTTCGGAATGGCTAAGGTACTGGAACCTTCCAATTGCCGGCTGGCAACAGGTGTCTGCCGCACAACTTTGACAACGTGGCCCGATAAGAGTCGCAATGTCACCAGAGCGCCACCACCTGGAACGGGAATCCCCCTTTTGCCAGCAGCCGAAGGGAACTCCTGCTCCATTGTGTCAACTTTTTGCACACGTACGACGACTGCGCCGGCGGCTTCCGACAGCTGTTTAACATGAAATGTCCTTTGTTGGCCACCCACACGGGGTAAATGATTTGCAGGAGCAGTAGTCCCAGTCCCCAGTATTGTTTTCTCGCCCATGTAAATCAGATTTTTGTTTTATACCAAACGAAAACTTTTCCCAGTACAGGGAGAGGGAGAGGAGGGAAAGCGGTTGGGGAAATGGAATGGGGATGCGCAGCGACAATAACATTTCCTATTTCCTTCTGTCTGTCCCTGTCTGTGTGTGTGTGGTGTGCCCGAGTGTGTGCGTTATCCTGCATGTTGTCAATGCCAAAGTCAGCACAATGCGCCGCTCGAAATAATTGAAAATAATCAAACACTCTGTGGGAGCAGCAACTGCAGCAAGCAAAAGGCACAGAGCACCCACTAGGAACACCGAACAGAACTAATGTAATTAGCGGGCTCAGAACGCATTCGCTTTTGATTAAAAGTTTTTGCCGCGATAATCTGAGCTGAGCAACATACTGAAGTGACACTATGAATAAACGCATTGAGCATTGTTTTGGGGTTGAAAATCCCTAGAAGAGGAAATGGGTTGCGAGAGTTGTATGTACGTTTTATATAAATTGAAGTAAAAAACTGTTTTTTAATTTAATTTTCTCAGGGAGTTATTGAAATTGCTCCAAGAGAGTACGTTTATTGTCTTTCAAGGGCCTTTGTTTGCTAACTTCATTTGTGAGCAGCTAACTTGATTTACAAAACTTAAGTCGATTGGTTATTCATGACTCTAAAGAGTTAGTTTGTTAGAAAACTAATTAAAAATGTTTACAAAAACCAATCTGTGGCTAAATGATATCTCAGTTAACACTCCTCTTGACAAGACTTCGAAATTATTTTTATTTTTTCAGTAAATTAAAGTTATTGTTTTTTATGTTTATTTTATAATTATTTTAGTATATTTTTTAGTTAGTTTTACTATTCTTTACGGGCTCTTAATACCACTTATATTTTATGAACCTTTAATAATAATTTTCTTACATGTTTAAAAGAATAGTGTTCATGTTATTTTAATTTCATATTAAAAGCAGCACTTTATGTACACAGTTTAACTAGTAGTAATTCTCTTAGTTAATCGTACACATTAATTAAAGAAATAAATACTAGTTTATATAAAGTATTTTATCCTTACCCTTAACTTGTACTTTATATTAATATAGTGCACTTTGCTTATTAATAAACAAAAGTTATATATATTTAATTGAATGAAATCCCATTAATGGGTCAGAAAATATATTTTCACTTGGCAACTCATTAATATCTCATATAATCGTTAATAAACCTTATTTATTAGTCTTGTAAATACGATTGAGTAATCATTTGCTTAAATCAAACTGCTGGACAAATTATGCCGCCTTTTTAAAAAATCTCAATATGACAATATAAATATACATAAATTGCCGCAAATTCTCGCCACAGATTAGCTTATAGTTGGCCGCCAAAGAATGTCGGATTAATCTCACCGAGCGCCGCTGGCCAATAAACAATATTGCGATAATTTTGCGGCATTGCGATGTAATTAAATTACTTAGCCAGTCGCAGTGGCAGGACGAACTGCGCAAATCCTTTCAACAGGCCCACCAACTACCCATGTCAGCGCACTGTGTCGCCCGGGGGACATACATCCATACATATTTCCATAAAGCCACCGCAACAGCCACCGCTGTCAATATGCGGATTAACGCATCAATTACACGGACACCAGGAGCAGGGGAGATACTGGGATACAGGGATATGCAGGACACACGCCGCGAGGCCGGCTAGCTGTTGCTTGCAGCGACAAAAATTTCATTTCGTCGGGTAATTTAATTAATTGCAGAATTTCACAATCAGGCCGAGGCTGCCAGCCAGGCTCTGCCTGGTAAAAACAATTTGAATTCCGAACCAGCGTTCAGCTCCGTGCGACAGAACGGCGATGGTAATCGTTATAATCCCCAATTCTAGTCATTGCCATTCGCATTTATGATGCGGATAAAGTGAGAACTCAACCATTGCCCGGACGGACTCACTGGGCAACTAAATTAATTCGATAATTGACTACCATTTCCCTCCCCCCGGACAAACCCTGCGCTCCAAATCATTGTCATCCCTTCCGGGTCTCCGGGCTCCTGCCCTTCCTCGGATTCTGGAATTCTCGGATGCTGCTCGTTCACTTTTTTATGGGCGGCGCACACAGAAAACATAAAAACGTCTGTTGCGTGTTGCATATGGAAAATTGCCAAAAGTTGGACCCAGGAAAAAAAAGAAATGCGAGCCGAAGGAAAGAAGTCACAAGAGGAAATGTTGCAAAGTAGTAAAGGCCAGGCTAATGGCAGTGGCATGACAGCCGGAAAAGGAGTGCCAGACGGACACGAAAACATGTACCAAGGAGGAGAGAGCAAAAGCCAGAATCAAGGAGCTGCTGCCAACAGGCTGTGGGTCCTTGAGCCAGGCCAGGACAGGACAGGAAGTTTTTATAGTTGTGCAAGTGCATGTGATTGCTTTATGAGCGCCAGATGAAGTTGCCGGCACGTCCGCGCTCCGGCTGTCATTTAGTTAATTATAAGCAATTAGCAAAGGATGTTGCCAGCGGGAATTAAATATTAAGCGCCTAAATGCATCTATTGCATATTATCGGTCACGAGCGGGACATTTTCTCCATGGTTTCACAACTACGAGGAAAGTTTGACTGTCTGAAATAAATAGGAATACAAAAAAAAACCAAGTATGACGGCTTATTGTTGTGTGTACCAAAAATATTACGTATACGCACATGGACTTGAAATCTCTTTAAAATATAATAAATATAAGTAAACCAAGAAAGGGGAGTTGAATTCGTCAAGCACAAAAATATAACGTATACGTAGTATTACGTATACGCAATATTACAATATTACGTATACGCAATATTACGTATACGCACATAGGCTTGGAAAAAAATCTTTAAAAATCTTAAATATCTAATTTTAAATCAAATCCACTTAATTTATCGAACTCAAATTAAATCATTCCCTAAGACACTAATTAAAGATCGACAATCAGTGAATTGCAGAAAAGTTCAAATGAGAATAAGCCATCACCCCCGATTCCTCCAAACAGATCCATCTCGGTAAAGGTGGTGGATGCTGCTGCCTGGTAGTAAAATAAACCATTTTACTGTTGTTGACTCATTTGAGAATTGTCTGTCTGCCTGCGTATGGGAATCGGGGCCAGAGGGAGTGCCACCGCCAGATCCGGCAAAAAGGTAACACGGTGGAACTGAAGACAGACAAACTGGTGGAAAGAAAGCAAGAGTCAGTGTCGGTGGCATTAATTTGTGCTATTGCCCGGAGCGAAACGAGGATTGGGAGGAGTTGGAGTTGGGAGGAGGAGACGCAGGTCCTGGCTCTCTCAAGGTAACGCGTAAGCAGATGAAGACAGTGTTGATGATGATGCCCGGGATACTCCAGCCACCTTCTGGCATCAGGAGCCTGCAAGTTGCCAGGCAACCAACGAGGCAGCAGCGTTTGCGGCCATGATAAAAGTTGCATGAGCTTGCACTGGGTATTTTATGCTTTCCACCGCCGCTGATGCCGCCTGTTGCCTTGGTATCTATACACTTGGAAAATATATTTATGTCTTAATTAAATTATTTTAATTTATTGAAATGAAACAATTTTATGTCAAGTCGAAACAAAACGAGCGTTGATCTTAGAGTTGGAAATGAAAGAAAGCCAATTTATAATCTATTCATTAGAGCTGGTAAGCAAATTAAGCTTTTCATATTATTTTATATAAAAAAAGGTGATTTTAAACATTGTTATAAAAACTTATAAAATCGTTCAAAATCCATCAGTCAATCCCTTTTCCCATTTATTTTCTTATTTTTTTCCACTGCATTGCCCTTTTCCGCAGCGAATAGTAAAGGCGATGGGTTTGGGAAAGCTTCGTTCTTTGGCCAGTCAGACGCGTTCCCAAGTTGCAGTCAAATTTTCATTTTTCCACTCACGTATTTCGATTAAATTCTCATTTTGGTCATAATTTTCCAGTTTTTACGTTGGCCTCGGCATTAAATTGCAACTCGTCTCTCTCTCTTTCTCTCTCTCGTGCTCTCTGGGACGGATGTGCGCCTCCCAGTGCTCACAGGGTAAGGATCTTCGTTCACTTCCTTTTCCTACTTTACGGGCACTGCGTATCGAAGGCATCAAGTTCTCTGTCGGCGAATACATTTAGGAAATTAAAAGTTTTCCAGGCCGGGCATGTGTATGTGTGGTAAGGACATACAATGTTTATACTGTGTGTGCGTGTGTGCAATTGTTGTGCTCACTGTGGCCCCTTCCATAAATCAATTTGCAGCACACAAGTTTTATTATAGCTGCATAAATCCGTTAACAAAGCCTGGCCACCTGATGCCAGCTATATCTATCTGTGTGTGTGTGTAGCTTGTGTGTGTCCTGTGTGTGTACTGTTCGCTTGCCTTGGCTAATTTGGCGGCACGCACACTTGGCTTATTCCCAATGAGCATTGAGCGCTGTCAGTGGCAAAAGCGACAGTTGGCTTAGTTGCTAGAGAGCACAACTTTTTGCGCGTAATAAATTGATAAATAGTCCAACATGTGTGTGTGTCAGCATGTATGTGTGGAATTGTGGCCTCGTGCAGCTGCCAAGTATGCAACAGTTTTCGAGTACCCCTCGGTGGCAAGCCATGCTGCAAAAGCATTGCATATCCTCCGGCTGAGAATAGAATTGAAATATGGCAGCGAATTCCCGAAGCTGACGGGGATTTGGATTAGAATCGATTTGGCTTCAACTTTACAGATTCCCGGCATCCAAATCCAAAGAAATGTGAGAATAGTATAAGCAGGCATGTTTTCAACTTGAGTAAAGTTTATTTAGTTGGATTATTTGGTTTATTTTTGGGGGAAAATAATAAAGAAATATCATAACTAAGCCAAAAATGCATTTATTTTAATTCGGAAAGGTTTTCTGGGCAAATTCTTTAAGGTTTAACAGCTACTGTCAAAAATTAGCTGGAATTCAAGTAAACAAAGAAAGGGGTTAAATTAATCAAGTAAAAAGATATTACGTATACGCAATATTACGTATACGAAAATGGACTTTGAAAATTTGAAAAAAGGTTAAATGTCTTATTTTAAATCAAATTTAAATCAAATAAATTTCATTTATCAAGTAATCTATATTTTTATATGCTAATTTTTTTAGTAAATCGTTAGTTTTTTAAATGCCATAACTAAGCCAAAAATGTATTAATTCCAATTCGGATACATTTTTGTTGCTAGTTTTCATAGCGTTAACAAATCTGCATACTAAGATTTAAAATTTTAAAAAATTAAAATTTGTACCAATTTTTGACAGTTTTAACGATAAAATTTTCAAAAAATTATACAAAAAAATTTTTCCCACCAAACATGACCAGATCGATTCGGCTTTTCGTGTTGATCAAGAATATATATGGTTTATAGGGCCGGAAATGACTCCTTCACTGCGTTTCAAGCTTTTGACTGAAATTACAATACCCTGCAAGTAGATAATAATGGAGCAAAAGTTAGAGCCAATGTCAGGGTCAGTTTGAAATCGCAAGGGTAATAAATAAATATTAACAAATTTAGGCTGTTAGCTTCGACATTTATTTCTAGATATCCCTAATACAAATTGCTGTGTCACTCTAACGTAAAGTAAAGTAATGGGTTTTAAGGCAATAAAGGAATCCATAGCTAGCGCAACTGATCTATATACATTAAATAATTGCCATGGTTAAGATTTACCGCACTTATCCCTTTTCGTCATTGTTTCCTTCCTTCCAGTGTATGTTAGAGATATATTTTTGGTAACTTTAATTAGGCTGACTTTCCATGGTATTATCCAAATGTTGTGCATTGATCAGGTGATATTTTTGGGGTGGAAGAGCAATCACTATCACCATATATATGTAGATGTAAACAGCAGGGAGGCCGCGGACTGAATGAGGTGAGTGCGAGGGCAGTCCCTGTATTTATAGTCACCGAGGAAAGAGAGCAGAGAAATTGAGAGCTTGGGAGAACGAGTTATCGACAGAGATAGGCAGAGAGAGAGAAAGAGAGAGGGAGAGCGAGGGAGGAATCTATTTACTGCCAATACAATATTATATTATTAAAAGAAGCTAACTTCCGCTCTCCCTTGGAAATTCTAATTCGATCATTAATTATTTATAAACTATAAATTATATATATTTATGTTCAAAAACAAAACATATTAATATTTGCTTTTATTGAATCAACAATACATATTAAATTTATAGTTTTACAGTTTACAGTTTCACAGTTTTGCATTTTCCTCTACTTTTAACGATTATTTTTATATCAACTATATGATATACATAGTCATAGTCATCCGATTTTAATAAAATCAAAACCCTGGGTAATTCGTGTTATTAAATGGTACAGTACAGTTCAAAAATAGTTAAACAGGCAAAGCAGCCCGATAAAAATCAAGTCCAAACCACCCTCTGAAATGGATATTTCTAATCCTGGCCAAGACGGGACTTCATCAAACAGTGTAGTCAATCAAAAGTAAACATTTCCAGTTCCCAAACTCCAAGGCGGACTCAACCATTTCAGCATAATTCACGCGAACTCATCCGTCTGTTGTTTTTCGATTATGTCGCATTGTCTTGGCTTAAAGTTTTTCGGGCCCAGCAGAGAGTACAAGCTATCCCGGCAACTCGGGATGTTGCCTGGAAATATTACAGCGATTCCTACTTATGCCTCAATTCGTTTGCCTTGTCACGGCGACTGCACAAGAACGGGGTGGGGGAGCGGACAACCGACCGACATGACAAAGAGGGCGAAAAAAAAGGACACCCAAGCGCATCCTTGGACTCGTGCATCACAAAACATGACATGGCAATGGCACGAGCCATTCCGTTTGTTTTTTCTATACCCATTTTACAGCTGCCCGTCCGACCCATCCGCCATCCGCTGGCCAAACAAATTTTTCTCTGTTTTTCACTCGGCGATCCCTGAGTAAAATATTATGTTACCCCGGCGACAAAGAAAGCGGAAACTTTGCTCCTTTGTTAATGCTAAAGGCTCTTGGCTAAAAACGAAATGAACTGACATGAAAGGGGGGCGTTAAAAGCGTATTTAAAATGCCGTTTCTATAAACAAATTTGCCTTTGCTGGTTATGCATATGCAACAGCAGCAACACGCTTGCACACAAGCAATTCATTAAGTATACGCCACCGCCACCGCCGCCAAATAGAAAATTACTGACAAAATGCTGGCCGACAGTTTACGAGCCGCAGACACTGCTGAACGTCGAATGGCAGCAGCGCATATTTACAACTTTCAAATGCTTCATTTTATTGGTCTCGAAATGAACAAATGGCGCACAAGCCACATAGACACTGCTGGCTGGGGGGGTACAAAAAAATTTTGCATAATTTATGTGGAAGCAAGGACTCGCTGGATTCGAAAGGAAAACAACGCACGAGCAGCACGGCCAACTGATTTAAATGCAATTGCACTGAAGTATGTTGTCCAGGGGCCAACAGCAGAGGGATAAAGAACGAGAACCAGGAGGAGCTGGGACTGCACGTGCAACCGGAAACATCCGGAGACCAGGCCTTCGCCGGGCAATTTCTTTTCATTTGCCAAGGTGTTGAGATGCACCGACGTGGCCAAAAGCCAACAGCAGAAGCAGTAGCAGTAGCAGTAGCATCTATGGCCGGGTCACAAGTGTCGTCTATTTGTCGCCGGTAGCCGGAAGACCGGGGTATCCTGGGGGAGGCAGGGATGCCAAGACAAACAACCGACAAATTTAGTATATTTTGTGCATTCTTAAAATTGTCCAAATTTATGTGACACGCTGCGCCAATTGATCAGATTAAATAAACATGAGAGCCGAAAACGAAACGAATTTGGTCGAAGACAATGCATGTGGACAGTTCGTATTCAAATGGTTGGCGCATTCAGACAGGGGAATACAGTGAGCTCTCGCTAAAGTTTATACTTAATAAGTACGAACACAGTTTTAACTCAAAATGGAAATGGTATGATTAATTGCTAGGACAAAAGTTAAAGTCCAATTGTATCAGTTCTTGGCCAAGAAAACTCTTTAGTTGGTTATAATAAAAAAGCTTACAGGGTGTTATTTTCTAAGTCAGAAGTCTAAAACGCAGTGAAAGAGTCATTTCCGACCCTATAAATCATATATATTCTTTATGAGCATCGAAAGCTGAGTCGATCTAGCCATGCCGCGAAGAAAAAAAATTTGTCAAATTAAAAAAAATATATATAAGGGGTTACATCGTTCAAATTGTCAAAACTTGTTAAAAATTTTAATATTTTAAATTTTAAAACTAAATATGCAGGTTTGTTAACGGTACTTGAACTAGCACAGAAGTGGTATCTGAATTTGAATTAATGAATTTTTGGCTTAGTTATGACATTTGAAAAATTAATAATTTACTCAAAAAATAAGCATTTCAAAACATATAAAAACTTGATAAATGGAATGTATTTGATTGTGATTGGAATTAAAATAAGAGATTTAATCCTTTTTGAAAGGAATTTTCAAGGTCCATTTTCGTTTACGTAATTTTGCGTATACGTAATATTTTTGTACATGATAAAGTTAATTTTGCGTATACGTAATATTTATTGTACTTGCCAAATTTAGCAGTTGATTTCTAAACTATTAATATTCCGATTCGTTATTAAAATCTTTGTAGATTACAAATAAAATATATTGAATGAAAATAACAATATATATTCAAAAAATATACCCCAAGTGTTGTACAAAGAAATCTATATTAATCCGCTTAAAACAGTACTCACTGCCCCTGTCATTCAAAGAAATTGAAGACTTCAAGGAGACAGCTCCATCCTGTCAAATGCCATATTCTCAAGCTGCAACTATTTGGGGTCTCATAGAGTTTGTCAGTTTTATTCAAATGGAAGGAACCACACACGTGATGACAAAACACAACACGTGCTAGTTGCATTCATATTCTATAACTTATTGCATTAATCAAAAGCCATGCACATATTTAGTGTAAATACTACCACATACTATATACACATCAAACAAGTTATTACAGCTCTTCCAAATAAACAATTATATATTCAAAGAGCTATCAGATTATATATTATGTGGATCGGGTCAGGGCGGCAATCGGTTTTGAGAAATTTCCGATCGCACTTCCATGTCAGGTCTGAGATTGCGGCGAAGCTTGGGAAATTCTGAGCGTTCGCTATAAACAAGCTTAGCCAGATGCTAATTTAACGAGTAGTAGTTGCCGGGCTATAAATACCGGATTGCATCTTAAAATACAGACAGTTGAACCCGAGCTGTGCAACTGAACATAATGAAATCTTTTGGATTAATTGCGCTGGCTGCTTGCGCTGTCCTCGGCGTCGGTGAGGATAAGGAATAAGAGATAATTGTTAATGATAACTATAAATATACATTATCCTTGCAGCTGCGGAGCCGCAACAGACCTATGATGGACGCAATGGACCCCATGTCTTTGGCACTCCCGGCAACCAGGTCTACATAAGGGGGCAAAACGAAGGCACCTATAGTGTGCCCGGAGTGGGTGGCCAGTTCCAGAATTCACCATCGCAGGGAGCACATGTCTACACAGATGAGCAGGGCAACACATTTGTGCATCGCAAGAACCCAGGAGGTCCAGGTAAAGACGAGATATATACCACAGTTGCCAATAAAATAATACAAATATTTACATTTTCAGCAACTCACTCGGTAAGCGGACCCACCTTGTCAGCCCAGAATTTGGGCCCCAGCCGTCCCAATGGTGGGCTAGATGCTGGATTGCCTCCAAGTGTCCGTCGCAGTCGACAAATTCACATTGCCCGGCCAGATCGCACTGTTGACATTGGCTACGGCGGTGTCTACGTTCAACGCGGTCGTCGAAGCCCCCAGTTCCATGTGGAGCGTCCGGATCGTTCAGTGGACTTTGGTAATGGCGGATTCTATGTCCAACGTAGCCGTCGTAGCCCTCAGAACGAGAATGAAGGTTTCCCCATTTTCATTCGACGCCGTCGCAGTAGTCCCCAGGAGGAAAATGAAGGTATCCCATTAATTATTCGACGCCGTCGTGGTATCAACGATGCTCGTGTCCAGGGCGAGAACTTTGTGGCCCGCGGAGATCAGGCTGGTGTGTGGAACGATAATGTTTCTGTTTGGAAGCGTCCAGATGGACGCACAGTTTCAGTGGACAAGAATGGGCACGCCATTGTCTCCGGTCGCCGGGGTACCCAGCGTGTGAGTAAACTTTGATATTGAAATGTTTAACGATAAACTAATAAATTACTCTTTGCAGTACTCCTAAACATGGTTCCCAATGAGTATAATCTGACATAGTTTAAAGAAAACAACTTGTATATATATTGTACAATAATAGGTACTTAAATCACATGATATCTAAATACAAAAATATCCAAAACCAACTAGGAATGGATTTGGGTTGCCCTTGAGACATGAATTTGGGTTAAATATTGAACAAGGGGTCATAGTTCATCTATACAAAGCACGAGTGACCATAGCACTGAGTGAGATTCTTCAGTCGCAGTGAATACAAAGCCCGTTCAATTGGCAGGAGATCGTAGGCAATGTTGGTCAACTGGTGGGGATCCACCTGCAGATCATAGGCTTCCAAAAAGTTCTGAATTCAAAAAATATATTAGCTAATCTACTTTAAAAAATAACTAAATCTCACCTCGTGATCGCGAAACTCGCAGTAAATACGATGATCCCGATATCGAATAGTTCGTATACAAGCGTACGTATTGTTCCACGCGTCCTGGCAATGGCAGTCCGCTTCCAAGGTGCATTGCGCCAACCCATCCAGTTCTGACCATGGGCACTCGGGATTGTAGGTGTTGGCATTGCCCTCGCCCCAGTATTCAATCAGCAGTGAACGAGGAAAAGCTCCAAGGGAAACCCCATCAGTGGCGGTGGACAAAAGCTCATTGAATGACTGTCCATCCATGTAGGCGGGCGTGCTCACGTTGGCCCAGGCCAGAATGGTGGGCGCCAAGTCCACCAAACTGACGGCTGTGTCAATATGAGTTTTTGGTGCTATGCCCGGTCCCCGAATTAACAGCGGAATTCGTATATCCGTTTCGTATGGCTGTCGCTTGTCGAACGGCTGTGCGAACTGTCCCACATGATAGCCATTATCTGAGGTGTAAACGATGTAGGTGTCATCAAGCGACTGCGACTCATTAAGCACGGCCACCAGGTTGGCTACCATCTCATCCACGGCCAGTAGCGTTTCCCAACGCATCCGAAAGTACGAATCTATGGTATTGATTGTTTCGTTGGACAGCAGGCGGGACGAGCGAACCAACCAGTGTTTATCTGCACATGGATATTGAAATTATAAAAGTATATATAAAGATACATATGTACATATATAAGTTTCTTACCCTCCTTCGGTTTATTAAAGCTGGGCGTTCGAACAGCTTTCGTTTTGGAAAATAAGCCAGCGTGTCGGGGTGCTGGCGTAAAGGGCTGATGTGCCGCCGGCGGGGCCACCATGGCAAAGAAGGGCTGTCGCTCTTCCGATTCAACCTGCTGGGTAGCTCTTCGCAGGAAATCAGCGGTCCGATTGTTTAGCAAATCAGTCAGATACGTCCCCATATAGTCGATATTGTCGTCATTCTCGCGCAGCGTATAGTTGTAGTAACGGGAGTTCCCGTGAAGGCCATGGAATTCGTTCCAGCCCCACGGCACCTCCTGCCCTTTATACTCGTTCATGTACTTCCCCGCATAGAAGGTATTGTATCCGCGCTGTTGCAGAATGGCTGGCAGAGCCCTAGGCTCTAGTACCCGCCGCCAATGAGTTCCATAGCAGCCACCGTTCACCGAGTTGTTGCGCGTACCATGGTTGTGTGCATACATACCACTCAGCAGACTGGCCCGAGCCGGGCAGCAAACGGGAGTTGGCGTGAAAGCGTTGTGGAACAGGGCGCCGGCTAGACCCAACAGCTTCACGGTGTCCTCCATGGGAAACATGCCGCGGAGCTCCACATCCTGATCATCGGTCAGTATGAGTAAGATGTTAGGTAACTTTTCGCCGGCGACCAACCTAACCCAGCAGGCCAGGAAGCAGGGTATCAAGAGGGGGTTTAAGCCGAGCTGAAGTGATGTCAAGCTTAGATATCAGGTTTAAAAGAAAAAGGGCGGAGTCCAGGTGCTTACCATGGAGCAAGGAACCGATTTTCACCTTTGTTTACAATTTGTGCGAAAACCAAACCCGGCTTAGGCGGGCAGTGTTGGAAAAGCTTAGTGGCAAAACATCTGATGTGTCAATCGATATATCGGTAATCGATATTTTCAACACTAGAAATCTATCTTTAAGCTGTCAAACCGCCAAGCACGTTATTCAAATTTAAAATGCTTATCCATCGAGGAAGTCCCTAAGACCTAAAAACTTTTTTATTTCAAAAATATTGTTACCCTCTGATTAAAAAGCACACCAACATACGAGAAATATGATTTATTTTCTATGAATATCAGTGATTCAGTGACCGAAAAATACAGAATCTTTGCCGACATCAATATGTTTTATGTTTTCTTGAAATTCAAAATAATATAATGCATATATATGTAGGTACAAATGTTTACAGTTTACTTATAGATAGGTTTTTTTGTAATAAAAAAGAATGCAAGTCTGTATCCGTATCACAAAGCAGCGCCAAGGACAAGGACAGATACGAAAGACTGAACAAATTCTAGCCTCTTTATATAATGCCTTTTATGTTTCTTTTTCGCGACCTTACAAAATAAATAACAGCAAAGATAGATAAACGTACAATATATGTTGATTGTGTGGATTCTACGACATGCTTTTTATATAGATACTGCAAGTGTAAGACACATAGAGAATAAATGTAGTGTGTTCTGTGAGTTTTATTATTTTGGCCTACCAGAGGTGTGATTCCAGGTGCTCTGATTTGTAAGTATATTCTAAAATCATTGAAATCAGGGAACCAGGATTCTCCTATTTACATGTGAATTATGTGCACCATGGGGCCCGCGAGATCCGTACTCTCTCCAGACTAATTGCCCTCGGGCTTTGGCAGATTCGTATCATAGGCTCGTATAATGATAGACTGCGGCACAGCTCCTCCCTCCTCCTGGGAAAATGCATAGCCATCTAGGGAAAAGGAGATTGGTTCAGTTAGAATCATCTGAATTGAAATAACAATTATAATGTTCATTATGTGTGTTTGTGGAAACTGTAATGTGTGATTGTTGTTCCTGTTCTTTTCCCAGTGTGTGTGTGTGCTCGCTCTGGCGATTCCCTGATTCCGATCCTTCTAGGTTCCTACCACTATTATATATTCCGACGATTCCTGGAACACTATGTGGTACTCACGCGATAGTTCTAGCTCCGTTTCGACTCTCGTGTTGGCACGACGGGTAAAGACACTGCGTAGCAGCCGGGCCGTTTCCGTTAATCTGTTGGGTTAATTTTTGAGCGGGGCGGATATGGTTTTAGTAAAGAGGGTTTCAATTTCGCTTTTGGGCTTATTATATTAGTCGGGGAATTCATTCGTTTTTCTTTCCATTTTGAATTGTTAGCACTTTACACAATACGAGTACAGGTAACACAGCCAGAGGTCAATCCGAATACTACGGAAGGAAGCTGTCTGTTGTTGTTGTTGTTGGGGGGTCGGGACATAGGGGGAGCATACATATGTACGAATAAATTCAAATTAGGATGAGCAACGAGGTGTAGACCAAATTGAAAGGGGCATGCAGAATATATAGTATGGAATAAATGGAGAGAGAGAGCCTACATCATACTGTAAAGATTGGCAAATAAAACGAATACGAGATGCGGTTCTTACAACGAATCTTTGACGCTACATACAAAAAGTTAAATCATAAGTCCGTACGATATATATATAAAGTGTTGGAGGTTCTTCCCTTTGTCTAACCCTATTAAGACCCCAATAACCCCGCTAAAGTAAACCTGTGACAATGGTGACATAGTGGACGTGGTTGTGGGTGTGGTGTGGTGTGGTGTACTGGTATGGTTTATATGATTTTTGCAGCTTCTATGATATTACTTACACCGAATTATCGATCCCAAGGCATACATGGTACTGCGCTCACCGAAATGTAACGCAGAAAACAACGGTGTTCAGAGAAATTTCAAAGAAACATTTTTTTCAGAATTTTGCTGTTGACTCTTGACTTTTTATTAAATTATATATTGATTAGTTATTTGTTGGGTGTGTTATTTTGGGTACTGCGAGTTGGTTTTAAGTGTTTGGGTGTTGGGGTGTGTGATTGGTTAAGTCGCATTGTTTGGTGTCCATTAATACGTAATACAAAAATAAATAATAACATACATAGAACATAAGTGCAGAGCGGATCGGATCGGATCAGATCAGATTAGCAGCCATAGTTAGTATTAGATATATCATTGGCCGATTTAAAATTGCATGCGAGCTGTGGTGGACGGTGCGGGATACATATATATTCAAAAACTGATACATACATATCATCGGGGTAAGTACCATCATCACATTCCATTAACGTTGGGATGAATATGTATATCGGTTGGTTAAGGATACTAAACATTCGTGACTGGGAACATGACCCCCTGAGGGGGCTTCGTTAACTCTCTTTTACAACCTGACAAGTCTCTTTAAAGTTTAATGTAGTTAAGGTACAATCATAATAGTTTGTGTATATATAGTAATATGTAAATGAACGCAGCTGCGTTGGGAATGATATGCATTCCCTGATTATTGGCCTATCCTACCGTGTCTATCCTAAAGCTCTGGCTCCTTAGACACTATCACAGTTGGCAAATAGAAGTTGTAGGCAATGTACAAATAGTTCGCTTCTCTAACGCTTAAGCATAAATATATATACACACATGGATCTAGGTCTGCTCTTGGCGATATGATTTCAACAGTTCTTAGGAGCTACTCGATGATGCGCTGGCAAAGCGGGCAATAGTCTCCCGCTCCACATGCTCATTACAATACAATATACATAATGCTCACTTATTAGATATCAGAGACTACACACTAAGGAAAAATATTTCGATTTGACTTGGCCTTCGCTCACATATGGAGAGTGGCCTGGGTGGGCGATGAGGCCCTCCTGACCGTCGAGAATCGGTTCTCTACGGCGGACAACATACCGGCCCGCCACTTCTGACGCTGTCTTGTCCGCTGCTGCTCCTCTGTGTCCATTTCCAGCTCCAGGTTCACCACCCGTAGAGTTGTTTCCTCCGTGGCAACAGGCAACAGGTGCTTGGCTTTCTTGCAGAGCTGACGCGAACTGATCAGAGTCTTCTTGGATGTAATTACCTTGCCGCAGGCGAATCCGTAACCAGAATCACTAATGGCGTGCGGGCGGAGATGATGTATGGATTTATGGTAGGTTTGGGTGGATGCATGTATGGATGGATGGTTAGGGATTCAGAGGGCCATCATAGCCATCAAGGATTGATGCGGGATAGAGGAAGACAGAGAGATTACATTTTAGGGATATCAGTTCATAAAGATACTTGCGCAGTGGTGATGCGAATCGAACATTGAATAAGAGTCCATAGTAATGTTTATATATCTGATTCTGATTGATGTTGGCTTTGTCTTAACTCAATAAAATTGTGTTTGTTTGCTTTTTTTAGATTGAATGACAACAGCTAAGGAAAGTACCTTCACTTACAGCCAATTGAGTTTCAAATTTTAATTTTAATTGCATTCAAAATTGCTCAACGAAGTCTACAAAATGCGTATCAAACACTAATAGTAAATACATTAAGGTCTAGAGTACAATTTCAACTTGTAGTTTAACAATGGCTATAGCTCTAGCTAAGTGTGCGTATATATATCAGTTTCTATATGTTTCAGAACTAGAAAGAGTGTTTCACAGCAACAACTTATCATAGGTTTAAAACTAGAAATATTTACACGCTTATCCGCTAGGTTTCATTGTTTAATACTTATATATATGTAGTCTGTATCCCTATTCTTGGGTTAACATTTGGTGTTCCGTTCTTATCTTGGAATAAGCTAAGGGTTCGAGCAATTTTCGGTGGCCAATATTCAAATGGGAGACACTAACATACATTGAACAAACACAATTCGAGGAGGATGTGGCAGTGCAATTACGGAATGAACTGAAACAGGATTAAGTTAATGCTTATGTATGTAAAGTAGATGACCCAAAACGAACGCTAGATATAAATAACAACTAAGGTGAAGGTTCTAGTGGTGCAACTACTACAAGAAGCAGAATACTGTGTTCAGGCACATATGTTCAATCAGCCTTCGTTGGGGTTCGGTTTTAGGGTATCGGGTTTCGGGTTGGTAGAAGCAAAAACCTCATAATAACAAGAGGAGAAATGCCAGAGGTATCTGTGTTTGATATATACCTCTGCTTTATGCTATTGGCATTGTTTATCTTGTTATTTCAAGACCTTTGGAGAAGTATCTTAGGGCTCTACATAGTTAAGATTTTAGCAAATGCGCAACAATTCAAATTGAAAGTATAGTTTGGATTTGTTGTTTTTTTTTCTTGGACAAACAAAACTAAATACTTATGGAGGTATGTATGTATGAGGCCGACCAGAGGCCCGAGGGATTAAGCGTGGTATTTTGGCTTTAGTTTCCGATACTTACGAAGATCGCGGCTCATTCATCACTTCGGAGATGTCGCTGCGTCGGATCTCCGTCTCGCGTACAGCCTCCGTAAGTGTCTTGAAGACCGTGTTGTGAATCCTACCAAAGGATATCAGAATAGATTATAGTTTTCATATCTATTTCTATTCCCCTGGTTTACTTACAGTTTACAGATCACATCCACCAACAGCGTGGTGATGGGCACTAGCAGCAGGCCGAAGTAAAAGAGCGGCGTCGACAACAGCTGGATGTCCATGCCGCGGAAATTACTGGCAATCTTAAACGTCGGCCACACATGGCTGTAGACCAGGAGGAAGGTGAACCAGAGCACTATGGATCCCCAGATAGCCAAGTGCGTCAGCCAGGTCCACGAGTTGGTGATGAGACCAGCCTTCAGGCACACCGTAACGACCACATACTGCAAATATATATCAAAAAGTAAAGATTATACAACCCAGAAGCTTGGGACACATTCAACAGCCTCACCGTGTACACCAGATTGCCCAACAACAGGTAGTCGCTAGTCTTGCCGTCGTTCCAGATCACCTCGCTCGTATAGGCAGCCATTGGTATCCAGAAGAGAAACGCCGAGTGCAGCAGGGCATTGAATATCCAAATCCAGAAAACCTTAACATTAAAGAGCTTGGCGTTCTGTGAGGTCTTGTACAGCATTGGATAGCGTATCATCGTCTCCGCCGTGCAGAACTTCTCGAACAGACCCATCGCAAACGGCGGCATGGCCGTGAAGATCACGTTGTACAGACCGATGGTCCAGCGCTCAAAGAGGATCTGGCCCGACCAGCCCGAATAGACGGCGAACCACAGCTCAATCACATACAGACACACGTTCTTGTAGAAGCTGTACAGAATAAGCTTGGAGATCCTCGCGTAGTTCCAAGCACCGTGCACCAACAGTAAGCGCTGCAGATACCGGAACTGGGCAATGGAGTAATCCGAGGCGCATGCCGCCTGTAGACCTTCCACTCCCGAAATCCCAATGCCCACATTTGCCTTCTGAATCATGGCCACATCGTTGGCACCGTCACCTATGGCCAAGGTTACGGCTTTGGTGCTCTGCGTGACCATCTCGACCACCTCGGCCTTTTGCATCGGCGAGACGCGGCAGCAGACGACCACACGACAGAGGAGGCACAGATCCTGGAAATCGTTGCGCAAATCGCAGCTCAAAGCGTACTTCAAAGTGGTGCCATCGATGACCAGAGCCACGTTGGCATCCTTGGCCGTCGAGCTCTTAAACTCTCCGTAATGTCGATGTATTACTTCGCGGGTGGCCTGCGAAATAGGAGCTTACTAGAATATACTTAGAAGAGAACAACTTCTTTTTACTCACATCTAAACTCTCCTCGTTGAGGATTAAGATATCCATGGAGTGACTGATGAGGCGGCAGGAGTAGCCAATGTTGATGGCCGTCTCCTGCTTGTCGCCAGTGAGTACCCAGATGTAAATGCCGGCGTCAAGGAGCGCGGCAATTGTCTCCGGCACACCGTCCTGCAGTCGATCCTCAATGGCTGTGGCGCCTAGCAGACGCAGATTGATCTCAATCAGATTGGCAGCATCTTCCAGTTTGCTCTCCCGATTCTGCAGCGAAGTCGCGGCCCTGTGATAGGTCTCGCGCCATTCCTGATACACATCCGCCCGGATGTCGGTTACCGCCAGGCAGAGCGTTCTCAAGCCATCCGACGCGAACTCCTCGAGGTGGCGCAGGGTCTCCTCCCGGAACGCCTGGCCCTGTGGAGCCAATCGCTCGTATATCACCGTATCGGCTCCTTTGCAGAACAGCTTGATCTTGCCCTCCGGTGTGCGCACAATCAGCGACATTCGCTTGCGTGTCGAGGTAAACTCGAGGACATTTAGGACCTCGTACCTTTTGCGCACGCCGAGCGCATTGATCTCCACGTACTCGGGCGTACGGGTATCGAAGATGTAGCCAAACTTATGAGCGCCCTCGACCAGAGCCCGCTCGTCCGGACTGGCGGCATGGTAGATGATGGTACCGTTGTCCCTTCGCTCAGGGATCACCGTGTGGCACACAGACAGCAGAATCAAAAACTCCTCGATCACGCCGGCCGTTTGGTGACGACTCAAGATGTTCTGTACCAGCTGAGATTGCTCTGGCGTGTTCTCCGGAGAGTAAGATATGCCGGCAATGGAGCATTTCTTGAACTCCATCACATTTTGGGTGAGTGTGCCCGTCTTGTCCGAGAATATGTACTTTACCATGCCAAGTTCCTCGTTCAGGTTCGAGGTTCTGGCCATGGCCGGTGTGTTCGACTCCTCGTGGTACATCTCAATGTCATAGTTGATGAATATGGCCTGCAGGAAACGCACCAGCTCGAGGGTGACTTGGAGCGAAATGGGTATAAGGTTGTTGTACAGAATGAAGAAGGTCAGCAGGTTATAGCCAAGGCTCAGGCTTTTAAAGTCCACGAGGCCCAGGTACCAGTCCGTCACCGAGTGCTCTCGGGTCCAGAACAGATTGCATAGGCCACTGGTGATACACAGCGAGATGAGGATCATAAACAGCATCAGAATCTGTGTATTGGTCAGCTTGTCCACGGTGGAGCGCTTTAGTGGCGCCGAGGTAGAGTTCTTCATCAGCTTTGTCTCCTGCCCAGAGTAGACAACGACACCAAATATCCATGCCGTGTTCCGGAGCATAGCGCCGCGCTGCAGCACCTGATCGTTGCCCAAGGGAACGGTTCTGGAAAAATGAATTGGGTATTACACTTCAGTATGTATAAGCATTTAATGTTAACATATAAATATCCTAGATTTTCGGGTCAGAAAACCGATATAGATTGATCTTTTCTACCAGCACAGCATTCTCTATCCTCTAGAAAATTCATTTCTGTGATATATGCCTCATAAATTAAAGATCTAATATGCTTAAAGTCAGATAAAGCATTTCTATAATAAAACACAAAAAATATTGTAATTTCTGGGCTATGTAGATTTTGCAACACATGTTCCTCACTTGCTATTTATACACAAAATTACTCACTGTTTGCCGTTCTCCTTGAGCACCCCATTGAATTCGTATAAATGCCGGTTGGGCAGCTCGCACTCGATCCTGCCCTCTAAACGCATCAGATCCTTCGTCTCCAGCAGACCAGCGGTGGCTGACACTCCCTGCCGGATCTTGAGGTTCGTCTCACCATCCAGATTGGCCGTCTCGATGAAACACATGGCCTGCGGCTCACTGCGAATCGAATTGTCAATGGGTTAATAAACTATAATTGGGGTTAACTAGTATATACGCTGCTCACCTAGACGAGAGAATAATCAGATCGGCAGGGAAAAAGGAATTGATGGTGACCTTTATGATATCCCCCACGGTTAGCTCTGACCAGCGGACTGTGGTCCAAGTGCCACTATCTAGCCGCTCGATCATCCTGTGATTGATCTCATTATCCGCCCGGTGTCGTTTCTAGAGAAAAAATAAATCAAATTAATCAATCAGACTGCAAACAAGTAAACAATAATTATACTCACAATATCCTCGATTATCTCCTTAATGGCGCTCACCGACAGGATGAACATGAGCGGAACAAGCGTGGTGTAACGACCCGTGGGCGATACATCCGGGATTTGCTGCAGTATGGCAATCAGGAGGAAAAAGCAGTTGGAATAGCGCCGGAACTGCTCGAACAGAAAGGCGGGCAGAAAGCTAATGATACTAAAAATGCAAATTGATGGTTAGTCCTCTTATCTATCAATTAGGTCAGCGCCATATCACTGAATTGATATACTCACCTATATTTTGCCGTCGTAATGCGATTATTGCAGTACTTAGTGGTCTGTGGCGCATTTAGGTTTATGATACGCCTCTCCCCATCGTCTGCATCGTAGCCGGCCGATGAGGTGAAGTCCTCATCATCTGCAAAGTTTCAAAAGTATATGCACTTTAGTGTTAGATATTAAATATTAGATGCCATTAATATATGATTAGTAGCAATAAGCTACCTAATTACAGGTAATCTCAAACTTTAACCAACAATGTTTCAATTAACTTGATATTTATTCATGGCTAATGATGATTAGCCAACGAATTTATATAGAGAGTGCTACGATACAAATCGGTAGCAGTAAATTAAAGGATACTTTAATGATAAAAACTATATATTCTGGGCAAGAGATGATATTTTAAACGCAAATTATTTGTCCGTCAGTTGTGGTAAGTTATTATCCAAAAATTCGGGCGTCCATCGGATCTCCCATTCGTTTAAGAAGAAATTGCAGGCACGGGGATTCCCCAAGGCATATTTTCGGGCAAATCGATTGCAATTGAATCCACCCCGACCCTCATTCTCGCCCGCGGGTATGTAGGGCTCATCAAAGTCCAGCTCTAGGATCTGTTGGTAGGCGAGGAAAACGACCCGATGAATATTTGGACCCTCCGCATGCCGCCGATTGTCATAGCCCACTATCGTCTGGCCCAAAACCACATCGCAGCCCCGAAAGTTGCCCACCAGCCACAGTAGCCACTCGCTATCCGGCGACACATCCAGATCGACCATCATCAGCGTATGGAACTTCTCCGGATTGGCAATGAAACGTATGATTGGTTCGGTGACCACCTCATCGATCACGATTTTTGCGCCCGGAACAACTATGAGGTCACAGGGATACAGGACATTGATCAACTTCGATGGCATGCAGGGAAGAAGACGGGGAACGATGTGGTGCTTCTTTAGCTCCTCGATCAGCATTTCCACCGGATCTTCCGTCGGGCATGTTACCAACATGATAGTTAATTTTTTCAATTTTGAATCAAAAATTGGAAAACAAAAAATAAATAGAAATAAGAGTCGCTGAGCCCCCAAAGCCTGCTGGGTAGGATCTTTTTCCTAGTCCCCAAAGAAAAGGGTTCTCTGAGAAACTTACGACTCCAACGTATTCGAAGCGCCTTGTAGACATTCCGAAAGTCCATATTGGTTCGCCGAAAAAGACCGGGACACCGGAACCGCCGGATTCGATCACCAGATGGTGCCGCTATCATCGACTCTACCGTATCCTCGTCCTCTTCCTCGTCCTCCTCCACCGCCGCTTCCTCGGGCCCAGGTAACTCGTCGGATCCAGAGTCGCAGTCGCCAACTGGCACGAAAGCGATGCTCTCGCCGGCAGTCTCCTCCTGCTGATTCCGTTTGGGAAACCCCAGGATGGAGGCCAGGTCAGTGAAGTGAATCAGCCACAAGTGGGCGTGACGGATCCAAGCAGGAGTAGTATATATGAGTAAATATATAAGAGAATCTCAGCGCCTGCGCTACCCAGATTCAATCAGTGCGTCGTATAAGAAAACACACATTTTCCATCCCGAGGTATTTCGGGGGATTCTGTGGCATGCACAACATTTGCATATACACACAGTCAGGCAGAGGGATGTCCTTAGGATTAATCCAAGTGAGTTCTTCAAGTTTTCTTTTGGGTGCAATGTGTTACTCTTCCGGTTCCGTCACCTGGCAACGTGTCTCTAGTTCACACCGTTTCAGGTATCGATTTGTCGCAATTCAATGACTTGGCTATAGCACGTGATTTGTAAGTTAATTTATAAGGATTTATGAGGATTTCCCCTTCAAGAAGTGAGGGTTCTTTCAAGAAGTTGTTGTATCATTGGTTGTCCAAGCTCCTCGCTTGATATATATTAAAGAATATAGCACAGATGTCGGAGCCAAGTTCACGGACGAACAACACTTTTCACTGCGTGCGCTCTCCTGAGCTCCGATACTACGACTGAGCTGAATTTTCAACGTGCTCGAGAACACCAGAACCCAGTAAGGACACACAACACACACACCGGAGGGATGGATGGGATGGAGGTAACCCCTTTTACGCTCAGGTCGGAGGAGTCCTCCAAAGCTGCGTAGTGCACTCCGCAGGGAGCTTATAAAGCTTACGAGATATCAGCAAATCGAAAACAATGCGTACCACCCAAGGGGGTGGCGGGGCGGAGAGAGGGAGAGAGAGAAAATTGTGAATGCAGGAGCAAAGGTAAAAGCAAAAAGCGAAAGCGAAAGCTGTTAGCACAACAAAAAGCAAGAAAATGTGGAAAACAAAGAGCGACAAAATAAGCGCCTGCGCCTTAGAAGAAAAGCTTTCTATAGAGAGAGAAAGAAAGTGTTCTCTCGACTATAAAGATACCCTCATTAAGTGAGAATATAAGATACGTTATTAAGAAATAAATATTATCTTGCTTATTATGGCGGAAATTAGTATACGAAATATTGTTATATATTATGTCTACACTTTGGTGTATAGAAATCACGTTTTATGGCAGTCATAAGATAAGATAAATATTTCAACAGAATTTTTAAATTGCAAATAAAATTATATTGACTATTAAAGCTATTTAAAAGTCTATTTCTATACAACTTATAAAATCACAAGAAACATACATATGACATACAAGAATAGAGTCTAAAACATACATATAAAGATTTATCTTGACTTTTGCAAAACAAAAAAGTCATGAAATTCACAAAATAAACCTATTTCATAAGTCATGATAAGTCTGGGGTATATTTTTATCATTTGTCCAGAAAGGGTATAAAAACATTGCTCAGATTCCGTTTCCATGTCAATAAAATTATGTGAAATGGAAATAAATGTATAAAAATATAAATAAATAATCTTAACCAAGCATTAACACCTATCAAATATCTGTAGAAACATTTTAAAGCTGATTTTAATAGGATTCAACATACTAAGTAATTATATTTTAATTACAAAGATCTCTTGAAAGGTAGAAATGTATATAAGCGCAGCTCAGAATCCTTCAGTTTATTTATAATTATGATATCACTCAACGTGCTGTCTAAATTAATTTCAAAAGAAATCGAAATGAAATTTTGATAGTTGTTTTTTGAAAATCAGTTTTAAATTTTTAACAATGTAACCCCTTATAAAATGTTCAAAAAATAGTTAAAAATGTTTTCCCACCAAACTAGATCGATTAGGCTTTTGATGCTGATTCGTTCAACGCCTTATAAGCTTCTGACTAACATTATAATACTCTTTTTAGTTTAATTAAGTTAATATAAAAACTATGCACCTTTCTTTTTTCTCCTTCGCACTCTGTTGAGTATAGACTTTATGGAGAGCATACTGCTCTCATTTACGTTTCCTGTCAGTCGTTGGTGTTGAATTCCGCCATCCGTTACGGTGGCACCAATGGTCACGCTCCTGGATGGACCCTCTGTGTCCTCTCTACGCCCATCATTGGCCTGTTGTCTGTCCTCACCGCCGGCCAGACCTCCTTCCGATCGCGTGGGTCCTGTGGTAGCTCTGCGGCGCATCACCTGGCTTCTCACCTGCCGGAAACCGTTGCCAACCCAAGCCTGCAGGCTAGGCCACAGGCTCCTCGCGTCGAAGGCGGCTCGGTTGGCGGTGGGATTGTGACTCTGCTCCTGGCCATGTCCGTTTCGTCCATTCTGGGCGTGATTGTGGCCACCACTCCGGGCTCCATTGCCAGTCTCGTTCTTGCCGGAGTCCGCCATGCTAACATGGCTCTACGACTCGCATTCACCTTCCGGATCTTATCTATTTCGACACAATTCAATTAATGGTTTCGGTGGAGGGACCGAAGAGAGTTTTTGCAAGCGCGGTATGGTGTTGCACTTAGGATTTTGCGTTGAAATGTCATTTTGATTGATTGTCAGTTGTAATTATTGTTTCTTTTGTTTGATTTTCAAATGCCTGCTGGGTTGGAACACCAAGAAAAAAATGTAGTGACAGTCCCTAAACAATTACTTCTATAGTTTATTTAAGGTTTGGATAGTTTTAAGAATGAAGTCGAATGTTCAAAATTAGTTTTAAGGCCGAAATTAAGCTCCTGGCATAAATAATTCTCTCAGATTTCAGCTTGTTTGTATATATTCAGAGAGTATTATAGAAACAAAGAGTATACATTAAACAAAGGAACTGTATACAAATACCAGATGGTTACTGAACTGAATGAATACTGTATATGTTAAGTATAAAGTAAGTAAAAAAACGAATACATTGCAAGTTAAATAATTTAAATTATACTTGTTTTTGTCACAGTCTATTTCCCTTTGACCGATATTGATTTACTGTCCAGTTGATTGGATAATTTAAACTGCAAAAGGAAAGTGCAGGTCGTGGTGCATTGTCAGTCAGGTCAAAGCAGGCATTATCTTACATTATCCCTCAAATCTGTTCAGATTGCTTAGCTGCGCTCTGTATGTAATTTACTGTGTGGATTAATTAAGCGATTCCTGGGAGACCTGACTCGTGCCGGCTTTGCCGGGTAAACACCATAAAGGAATTACCATACATACATATGTTGTTGTCAGGGGGAGTGGAAATTGGAGATACTATATATTACAGCGAACATCGACCTCGGAAATCGGAAGCTAACTAAGCGTCTTTTTGGCCTGTCCACGCGTTCTCTCTCTCTTGCTGGCCAAGTGAAATATTCTATTTGCGTGCACTGTACGTGTTGTCCGTGTTTTCCGGCCATAACTATGTATGGTCACCCGGAGCAACAACAAAAACAATAAACTGAAACCCGAACCAAAGAGAAGGGAACCAAAATTATGGCACCCGCAGAGTCATTAAAAACGTCATCAGGGATTCGATTGCCAAAGGATTTCCCCACGTGTGTGAGGGGATTCGAAATCCTGAATGGGCTCCAAGTGCAGCCAAGGCGTCGCTGAAGTTTATCGATTGCTCCAGTTTCTCGCCTTGCATTCTTTTGAACATTTCTAAGCACCTACAATCAATTCCCAATGTCCTTGAGTACGAACAACACACACACAGATGGAACATACAATTACACCTGGACTTGGAAAATCGAAAAAATTATATACTCGATTCTTGGTAAATTAGCCTTTAATATTTATAGCCAAAGGTTCTTCTGCCCATAATTGCAGCCATATCAAAAGGAGGCCTTAACGAGTAATCACTTGAAGTGGCAACCTGGAATCGTTTATCTTTACTTTGTTATTTCCTTTTTTTTTGGAGTCTCTGACGTAAATCAACAGACAGCAAGATCCGTTCAAGTAGCAAGATATATATCCAAATATATATTCGAAACATATGGTTTTACAAATGTATATTCGCGACGCTATTAAAGTTTATTCAGCCAGCCGCGATGGCAGCTAAAAATACCAGCATAGACATAGAAATAAGTATTTTGGATTCATTCCAAGCGAAATTTACTTATTTCTGTGGATTTCATATAAATTCCAACGGAATGCCGCCCAAAGGGAGCGTGTACTGTAGGTGGGGAACCAATCATCACTGTAACCAAAACAGAACTAATTATATAGCTGCTCGGTCTCGTAATTACCACTGCCCTGAGATCTTAAATTAAACATTTTTGGGCTGATCTTGAATACTAAAAGCGACTAAACAATACAATAAAAAGTTCACCTTTTAACACTTGAATGGAAATGAGTTGGAAATGTTTTTTAGCTCCAGTCAATGCTGGTGTTAATTACGCGACAAACGAGAGCCACAGTACTCGCTTATCTTCGAGATACTCTGTTGTGGCAATAGCAAAAGGTAAACAGATACGTATACTGTATCCATGAGATACACACACTCGCTGTGTCACCACGTTCCCAGAAGGGGTGAGGTCAGATCCTCGAGACGCCAATCCAAACATACACACAAAGACGTACCACAGACAATTGTGAATTCGAATCGATGATGATGGGAGGGAAATTATTGGCAATCGACCAAGATTACTGAGTAGTAGTAGTCGGCCCCTTCCCCCACCCCAGCGATGTCATCGTTTGTTTGGCGTTCCCTGGAAAACCGCCTCCTAATGCGGGGTAAATATGCACTAATGGCCGGCTAGGTTACTCAGAAAAGCC